CTTCAACATAGGAGGGACGGCACTCCGATTTGAATGCCTTAGAGCATCTCCCCGCGGCCAGTATATCAGCAAATCAGTATATCTGTAATCAGTATATCTGTGTGCCAATTTACTGAAATATTTTGGCACCGCTACTGAAATCTGGTCCAATAAAGTACTGATCTGATAATATTCCAGTACATTCCTCACCAATCTGTGTGTTTTGTACTGGACTTGCTGGAGTCCAGTATCCGCATATACTAGTATGTATGGATAACTTGGCGAATACGACAATTCTATCCGACATTCGTCTTATTGGTTAAAATTTCAATACTTCATACCTTTCATTGGTAAATGACTCTTCATTTTCAATACAAAGACCAAATGTCGTATGTTAGTTTTGATACAAGTCTCTGACGAGGTAAGGACATGAACCGTGAGGACACGACGTGGATTTGATTGGCTCTTACAGAAAAGGATACAGAAGCTTTACCGTTGGCTGCCTGGGTTGAATAGCCCCGAGTGATGTATAGTATCACTAGAAAGGTCGATAAGTATGTCGTATGTACTGTCCATCATAACTCCGATTTGCGACTTGGTGTGTGAGTGAAGTTGTTACTAAAGAGGTTGTTTAACGCAACCACCGGAACTGGCAAACTGCTTCGTGCCCCAGTCCAGTGGCCCTGGCAACACCGCGTTCCTACGGATTCACAGAGATGAACATGCCGTGTGTGCGGCCTGTCTAATGACGTTGTTTATGGATGTACACTATCCATACACCAAGCACAGCAGCTACTTCTCTTACTCGTACTAGTCAAAACTCGTCACCTTGTTTGTCGAGCTCTGCTCCACTTACGTATTTCTGTTCTTGGGATGCTGAGTCGAGGTACATGTGTTCCGGAGTATGTCGATACGACTGTGTTTTCAGCCAATAGCAAGCTGTATGTATATGTTAGTGATATATGTTGCTCAACCGACAACTACATCGCCCAATCAGATTGCCTATAAAATATCTGACCAATCAAAATTCAAAAATTTGTCGGTTATCCAATCATCGGCTCCAAATTTGTCGGTTTGATGTCGGATGCCACCTATATGTCCGGATATGTAAAGAATGGTTCCAAATCATGGCAGTCAAAGAATGACGAGCAAGGGCAGGAACTACCTTCCTGCAGAGCAGGAGACGTTGTGCCGTGCTTGGCTGCAAGTGTCACTTGACCCCATTGTTGGGAACGACCAGAAGTCATCCACCTTCTACGACAAAGTCGCTGAAATCTTCAACAAAGAGCACGAGTACGTTCGATTCCTCAATAGATGTCAAAGTCTATAGAGCAAGGTCGGCATGCAGCCTGCAGATACACTGGCGAGATACTATCCAGGAGCAAGTTTCGCTCTTTTGTTGAGCGTACAAGAAGGCAGTCAGTCCACAACCCTCCGTCTGGTACAAACGGTATTGACCACATGCGGGTAAGCGTTGCCGTCATTGAAAAACATATTATTCAATTTCTATATATATAGCCTGCTCTCGAGCTGTACAAGTTGCGCTCGAAGAAGAGCGCATTCCGATTGCACCATTGCTGGCTCATTCTTAAGGACGCGCCGAAATGGAGCGTTGCCATGGAGCCACAGGAAGCTGGCTCAGAGCCAGCTTCGGTGACATTGGCACCGGTCTCGGCTATGGCCTCGGTACGGCCAATGGGATCCAAAAAGGCCAAGGCGAAATTGAAGGGTATGTCAGGAAATGTAATGGATTTTTTCTGTTCATGTATTTTTAAGTTGTGTTTATTCAAAATTATGAATTATTGAAATATCTCCAATTTATTTAGATGTTGACGGTATTGTCTCGGTCCAATCCGAAATGGTCAAGGCGATCGTGGAACGCAATGCTATTGCTCGTGACAGTGGCCAATTGAAGCTGTTCACTGCTCGGATTGATTCTTCCGACGCTGGGGCTTCAGCATTTATTGCAGCGAAGCGTCGTTCGGCAATGCTGGACATCGAGCTCGAGATTGAAACAAAACGGCAAAAATTGGTGGCACTGCGTCGGGCTCAAAATGAACCGAGTCCAATACTGCATCCGTCGCCAACACTCGATTCAGATGACGAAACAAGCGCTGGTAATTATATTTAATTGCTAAGCATTGCGACTGGTTTCATTATATTTCTTTCCCCCAAATTATTAGCCTTCTGTGAAATGATTTACTTTTCTGAATTATGAAGCCGAATGCGCCACTGGTGTTCCACTAAATCATTTTGGAGACGTTGGTGCACAGTTGAATCGATGACGGACGCAAACGCACCGCGGAGGCGCTCGGCATGTGCAACATTTCCGGATGCACGAGTGGGGGGTGGAGAGTTTATAGCCCACTCGGAGGGCGGCACCGCCATGACTTCACGTTGATCCATCTCTGATTCGATGATCATGTTGTGGAGTATACAGCATGTCAGGACGACATCCTTCATGGCATCCTTGCTCCAGAGTCGGCAGGGATTCGTGAGAATGCCAGCGAGCTTGCAGCATGCCAAACATCCGCTCTACGTCTTTACGACGTGACTCTTGTGCCTTGCTAAAGTGCGCTTCTTTTGTCGTTGACGGATTGCTGATTATCTTCACAAAGACGCTGTATTTGGGATAAATCCCGTCCGCCAGCCAGTATGGGCGGTCGTACGTTTGGCCATTTACTGAAAACTCAACGCGTGGTGTTGTTCCTAATTACAAAATTATTTGTGCATTTATTGTAAATATGGTGCATTCCAATAATTGTTGTACCATGAATGGCGTCAAATAAAAGTGACGAATTGTCCAAGACATTGATGTCATTATTTGCCCCTGGCATCCCAAAGAAACAGTGCCAAATGCGGCCCCGTGTGTCCGACACAGCCTCGAGCACAACAGTGGGCTCTCCACTTTTGCCTTGGTACTGACCAGCCCAAGCTTTCGGGCAATTCTTCCAGGCCAAATGGCAGCAGTCAATACTGCCAAGCATTCCAGGCCAGCCCACGCTTTCACTATGTGCCAGCAGTGCTCTCATGTCACTCTCCGTGGGGCTCCGCAAGTAGGTCGGGCCGAACTCGCACTGTACAGCCTTGCAGAATCTTCGCAGGCTTTCACGCATGGTTGACTCCCCAATACGATAACTACATGAATATTATTCGAGTAACAGCCAGCTTGCTATGAAATTACCGATCGTCCAGGTCATCTAGTGCAGTGCCTGTTGCTAGGTGTCGAATGCAAGGTGCAACACGTTGATGCGATGTGAGTCCAAGCTTTCCTATTATAAATGAAAATATGTTCGTAATCGTGTGAATACCAAATATAATCTATTACCGACTGCATCACGGCGCTGAGTGAAGTAGGGATCATGAGCTGCAACGAGTCGCTATCGCTTTCACTGTCGGACTCACTGGAGTCGCAGTGCATGTCAGGGTGCTGAATTTGCTGAATGAACTGATCTGTGCGGTGCGAATTCATGTAAATTTACTGGCCAGTAAAGTACTGGACCCAGTATATCCGGACATTATGCGGATACTGGTTGGTCGATTTACTGGTCAGCGGTGGAGATGCTCTTACTTAAACCAAGTAGAAATTCCACTGACCTGCCATGTGTTTTTTTCGAAACGCTTATTTCACACATGAGTACTGTACACATACAAGTAACCAAACATATTTCGACTAGAGCAGTCAGAAAACTCAGTTTTCAACAGGAAAGCACAATAAAAAGACGCAACTACAGTGATCCCCCGATTTTTGCAGCCTGGTATAAACTAATATCCCATGTAAAACTATACAATATTAAGGTCAAGAGGGATTAATACAATTTGAAATTCAAACGATTGTAGCCAATCTGGCGCAACAACCGCAGGTCACATTTGATCTCAGTGCAATCACACAATGCCAGCACCTGCCAAGCGACTGACGCTCATTCAAAAAGACAGAGTCAGAGCATATTACAGCTTCTCTTCCTACCGCACGTTATCGATTACATGTACGTGGATCACACAGGAGGTCGGCATCATAGTGCAACCCACCACTGTTGGTCGCATTGTTCGGGACGATCGCACCAGCTCAGCAGCAAACATTGATGCAGACGTCACTGCGTCACGCTGCAACATCAACTGAGCTTGACACTGAGTTGGCGGCTTGGGTACAAAATTCTCTCTGTAAGTTGCGTACCGTTATTGGCGATCCTATGGCATTCGATGTACTTTTGAGTTAATAATGAAAGTGCAATCTATTTACTCCTCAAGTACTTGTTTATATCAATATATACCGGGTATAACAAAACGTGGAGGTTAAATGCTCCTCTGAAACTAACAGGCTCTAACATAGCGTGGCCAAATAACCTATAATTGCCTTATTCAGTCAGGTATTAAGCCGAGGAACGGGTAGGAAAACCTCTTAATATGCATAACCCTTGGCGCTGATACCTCTATCTTATTATATTCCGACCAGCCTGCAAAAATCGGGGGAGCACTGTATTCTATTCGGTCAATTATTGTGGTTGTGACATGTGATCGAAGGAGTACGAAATTCTCTATCATCATGATACCTCACCCAAAGCAAATCACTAACTAACAATATTACTGTATGTCCCGTGTAGTCGGATAACACTACTTTCAATACGCAAACACAAAAGCAATGACACATCTATTCCATTGGTTATATATTGGTGTATAATTAGACTGTCGTGGCACCACAATTCTGGCATGGCCTCATTCAAGCATTGTGTTGGAGGATGCAAGGTACGTTCATGTCATGCATGTTCTGCTCAGTGTTAGGATAAAATAGCAATGTGAGTGGGTCCAAAGTGACGGACCTTCGAAACGCACTGCAGCACACACGGGGAGGCTGTTGCACACCGTGCCTACCCCGACAATAAGTTGCTCCCTACGGTTTTCGTAGCGCTACTCTGTTGCGCAGGTCGAAGGTAGGACAAGCTACTGGCCTGCCGGGCCAGGGTAAAATGTGAAGTGATTAATAGTTAGACTACTGTCGAGCTAACCTTCCAATATACAACCTTTGCTATTCTTCTTGATATGTATGGCTCTACTAGCCCTTGTTGTTCTCCTTCGGATATGACCACTACAACCTTTGGTAGTGGTGATTTGTCTCGTTCATGACAGGACCGATATTCTCAACACTCCCCTATGTCGGTTCTTGAGTGCTCCATGATTGGCTACCCGCGGGGGGTTCCACGGGGGTTCCATCTTGATTGGGTAGTGTGTCACCGTTTTCTCCATGTCCCATAACGTCACTTCTGAATTTGCTGAGTGACGGCGCCGTGGCAATCTTCGTGAGCGCATCGACCAGTTGGTCGTTCGTGCCGACGTGGTGGAGCTTGATGTGGCCGGCGGAGACGTGGTCGCGGATGAAGTGCATGCGGACCTCGATCTGCTTGCTGCGCTCGCTAATAGACGTGGTCACGGCCGTTGAGATGGCCGCCTTGTTATAGCAGTAAGCAGGTAGGCCGTCTTGGACTGATCCTAGTTCGCCTAGAAGACCGCGTAGCCACATCAGTTCTTTGACCATGTCCACGAGCGCAACGTATTTCGACTCGCAGGTGGAAAGTGCGACGATTCTCTGCCGTGCCGATTTCCAAGACACGACGCTGCCGCTGACCATGGACACGATTCCGGTGGTGGAGCGGCGGTCAGGCTTGGACGCCCAGCTGGCGTCACTGTACTCGGAGATCCTGACGTCGGACCCAGTGAAGGTAATGCCGGTGTTTATGGTGTGCTTGACATATCTCATTAGGCGCTTGGCACCAACCAGGTGTGGCACTCGGGGATCATGGAGATGCCGAGACAGGCGTTGTACGGTGTGGGCGATGTCTGGTCGCGTACATGTCATTAGGTACATGAGGCTGCCGACCATATACCGGTATACCTCCTGGTGTACCTTGGCTTGGTTCTCATCGTGCCATAGGTCCTCGTGCTCAGGCACGGCTGGAGTTGGGCACGGATGGCAGTTCGACATGCCGAAGCGCTCAAGAACCTTTGCGGCATACGCTGCTTGTGACATCGTGATCGCCGCCGGTTAGTCCGTTGCGGGTGAACTTGATGCCCAGAATGTAACTCAACTCCCCTTGTCTTTTGAGTTTCATCTCACCTTCCATTTGAGTGAGCATGGTGTTGATCTGGGCCCAGGTTTTTGCTGCTATGGCAAAGTCGTCGACGTAGGTGCCAATTATTTCCAGTTTGTCGCCTGACCCGCGCGTGAATAGGCATGGGTCGAATTTGCTCGAGGTAAACCCGAGCTGCTCATGATCTTTCTGCAGTGATTGTACCATTCGAGCGCCGCCTACTTGAGGTCATACAGTGGCCGGCCGAGGAGCATTTTGCGTGTCGTTCCGTCGGAGTATCCCGGCACTTGATCCACGTGGATCTTGATGCCGGGTGTCATTACCGCTTGGACGAAGGCGGTGTCGGCATCTGCTTGTTCGACGACGAAGCCCTTGGCGACGACGTAGGCTACAATCTCTCGGATCGTTGCCAGTTTCACCACAGGTGAGTACGTTTCGTCAACGTTGATACCCTGGACTTGACTCTATCCATACTAGCGGGCCTTGAAGCGCACTACGTTGCCTTGGCTATCTACCTTCATTGCGTAAGTCCAGCGGCATCCAATCGCCTTCTGTCCCGGAGGTAAGTCCACCATGGTCCATGTTCCGTTCTCCCTCAACTGTTTCAGCTCCAGGAGTTCAGCGGCTTGCCATTGTGCCCGATCCTTCGAAGCCATAGCTTCGGCGTGGTTCTGTGGAACGTCGTCTACGTTCGGGAGGGCAGTGCATGCGAACTCGACGCCATCGATAAGCATCATTGCTCTCCCGCAGTCGTAGGCGGCTTCCCCAGACGTACACACCGCGGTAATCGCGGTGGAGGCTCGGGCGTCGTCGTAGTTGTTGAGGGCAGCGGCCAATTCTCGTTCCACGTTTCGAGTGGCCGTATCCCTCGTCCTCGTCTCTCATTGGTGCGCGTAGTGAAGTACGTGGACGTAGAACTCTTTCGGTCGACGAGGGAGTGTCGCGGAGTGCGGAGAAAGGTGAGTTCCAGTTTAGGGCCGGCAGTCCAGATCTTGGTGTCGGGGGCGATACGTCGGGTGTGGAGAAGTACCTCTTGGTTGGCGTTGCGTGTGGGCCTGGTGCCGAGATCCGCTGTGGGCGTTCGGTGCCCGCGGGCGCTTGGAGTCGTGGCGTCGGTGTCACGGGGATAGTCACTTGCTCGGGACTCGATGAGGTATCTTCTTCTTCATCATCGTGAGTGACAATGTAGTCGTCGATAGGGGCCTTCTCTCCAAAGAACTCGTTCTCGGAGAACGTCACGTGTACGCCGGTGGTGACCTTTTGGGTCTCGAGGTCGTACAGTTTGTACGATTTCATCGAGTCGGAATATCCGAGGAACACGCATTTCGTGCCTTTAGGTGAGAGTTTATTTCTCTTCGTTGGATCTTTCACCATGATGTAGGCGACGCACCCGAAGACCTTCATGTTGGCCAAGGTGGGCTTGTGTCCCAGGAATAGTTCGGATGGCGTGGCCTTGGCCGCTGTGATATGCACCACGCGGTTGAGGATGAACACGGCGGTGTTCACCGCCTCGGTCCACCAGCGTTTGGCCATTCCGGCGTGGGCGAGCATCGACAGGGCCATCTCCATGATGGTTCTGTGGGCTCGTTCGGCGATTCCGTTCTGCCATTGGTTGTTTGGAGGGGACTTATCGTGCTGAATCCCGAAGGTGCGTAACTTCATGTTGAAATCATCTGACACGAACTCAGATCCGCTTTCGGAGCGAAAGATGCGGGTCTTATTGCCCGTCTGGGTCTTCGACCAGACCAGGAGTTCAAGGAAGTTTTCTCCTTGCGTGGCGCTGTCGGTCGAGTGGTTGAACCGCACTACTTTGTAGCCGGTGGTGGCGTCTACATACACGGTGTAGTACTTGCATCTTCCCATTGATTCAGTGCTCATAGGTCCCTTAGTTTCTGAGACCCAGCACTCCCCTGGCTTGAAGGTCCGGCTGCTCGTTTTGGGTGCCGGGGTTTTTGCCATTTTTGATTTCGCACAGCACTCGCATGGGTGCTCCAAGGCGAGGAGTTTGGGCGGTGCCCCAATCCGAGTAGGCCGCAGCGCCGGACGGCTTCGATAGGGAGGTGTCCTAGTCGCTGATGCCACAGGGCTGACTTTTCTATCGTAGGCGATGGTTCTTTCTTTGGGGGTGGATCCTTGGATACGTCCGTTGATCGGTTGGCGTATTCGGACTTCCGCTCAAGGATGTACACTTTGAGTATCGGGTACAGTACCGCTTTGGCGATGGCTTTGCCGTCACAGGTGATCGTGCAGGTGTTGTTTACTTCCTCCGCTCCAGTATACTTGAGTTACTTTTTTTGGTTAGTGAATATATAGAAATTTGTATTCAAAATATGTACTATTCCATGTGGTACGTGTATTAATATTCAAAATCTGATGTACACGACGAGCGAATGCAAGACATGCTACACTACTTCAATTCCATCATTTGCGCCAGACCTAGAACCACCAGAATCTAGTAGTCCTACAATTTCACCGGCGCTGCTCGTCTTTCAAGCGGTTCTCCATCGACTCAATAGCTAAAAGCACATCCTCATCACACGAAGGACGAAGCTCAGTCACCCCTGTCTTGAACTGAATGTCTTTCTTCAGGTGAGGCAGCTTGTAAACATTGTCGCCACTGCTCCTCATTGCTTCTTCCATGACCTTTTGCAAAGTCATAAACGTCTTGTCCAGAACTCGCCACGCAAGATTCTCGAACGCGTCTTCAACGCACCACGGCGACCTGGCCATTGAGCTTGGATCGCCGGTATGACCTTGTCAACAAGAAAACGTCGGTACACTGGCTTGGTGACAGTCATCAGCACGGTAACAGGTGTGCCACGATCACGGTTCTTGCTTCGACGTTTCGCCAACTGGGTCTCAACAAACGGCCACAACCCAACCTTGCCGTCCCAGATCTTGCGGTGTGCACTGTCATGTCGAGGACGGGCGACGGCACAAAGGAACATGATCTTCGTTATGTGACGCTTTGATTGGGCCTTTCGTTGTGGCGGCTCATCATGCCAAAGATAGAACCGTCGGTTGACTTGGGTGATGTAAAACCACTTTTCGTCGATATGGACACAGTCCAACATGCGTGCCACTGGCGGCAGCCTTGGTAGCCATCACGAAAGAACGACTTTGCGAAATTGTACGAAGGAAGTCTCTTCTTTGATGTTCCAGCTCATCGAGTGATACTCGGATGATAGGGCAAGCTTGTCGATCTTAGACTTTGGCTTGTGGTGGTCTGAGAGGGCCTTGTAGGCGGCGATGGCCGTCACCGCGTCTTCGACATATTGGTACTGGGACGGTTCGATCCCTTCGATGATGATCCCATAGGCCTTGTCCATATCCGTCTGCAGGCGTGTCTTTGCTGCCTCGGTTGACTCGCCCACCCGACGATCACCGCTCTTGGTGACGTCCATGACGTACCACAGCCCCTTCGTGAGGAGGCGACCTCGAATGTACGTCCGCCATTGATCCCAATTCTGCTCCCCAAGCAGGATGATCGATGGTTTCATGCTTGTCATAGTTGGGCTCATAACCTGTTGCGTAGGTCGAGGGTAGGACAAGCTACTGGCCTGCTGGGCCAGGGTAAAATGTGAAGTGAATAATAGTTAGTCTACTGTCGAGCTAACCTTCCAATATACAACCTTTGCTATTCTTCTTGATATGTATGGCTCTACTAGCCCTTGTTGTTCTCCTTCGGATATGACCACTACAACCTTTGGTAGTGGTGATTTGCTTGTGCATGAGAGGACCGATATTCTCAACATACTCAAGCAGTGCACTGCAGTTTTTACAGCGTGCAACTATTCCCCCGACTTCGGTCGAAATAGCCAGGTGGAATTTGCGTAGTGGTTAATTGAGTTTGGATGATCATTTTTAAGACATTCCTCCGCGAGGGCCGATACTAGAAACCACATGTTGTGGAACTGCTTCGCCAATTGTAACGCGCCTGCTCGACCAGGGGCGGTGTGTAATCTTCGGTTTTTACTTCGCGCAAAGCTTCATGGTTCGACCGATCGTCTTCGAAGTTCGGTCCTCGGCTTCGTACGCGGCCCTTGTTATCCGGATCCCCCAGGGGAGGGACGGATAAATCCTTTCGGAAATAATCCGAGGAAGCCAGGGATCGAACCCACGACCTTTGAGTTAAGAAAAAGGCCGTCTTAATAGTAGTAATTCTGACGGCGCATGGATCAATTATGTTGCCAGAGAAATTTCACATTCTGCAGCTGGTTCATGTCGGCTGTAAAGCTGCAGCCCAAGCATCATCGACAGATTATGGCCCGTATTACTACCGGTAGTACTGTACAACGACGACAAGCAAAAACCTATTGATCACCAGTGTCGATTGTAAAGTGTAAGCCAAACGCCTTGGCGACGATCCACCGTTCCTTCCTCAAGATCCCGTTCAAGATGCGATTCAAGTGCGCCTCCACGCCGAAACGCTGTGAGTTACGTCGGACGACAATCGTACGAAGTGTTTGAGGAAGGTGGTCGGTCACACGCAACTGCAAGTTCCTGGGAAAACGAAGACGTGCCCGCACTGCCGAGCAAAGTTGACACCCCACGACTACAAGAACCTGCCGTGTTGTTTGAAGGGCAAGGTCAAGATTTATCCTTACGTTTTCCACGAGTCCCCGGAAATGCAAGCGTTCAAAGACCTCTTCACCGCCATGGCAATTGTGCGCAAGTACGGGAAACCATTCCTCTTCGTCACCATAACGTGCAACCCCAATTGGCCGGGGATCATCAGTCAACTCAAGCCCCATCAAACGTGACATTGTTACATGCGTCTTTGAGTTGAAACTAACGTATTTCGAGGACGACATCCACAAGAAACACGTCCTTGGCAAGGTTGTCGCAATATGTGCGTGTTGAAGAGAAGCCTGCATATGCACATGCTCCTCATCATGGAAGACCAAAACAAGTTAGGACCGTCGACGGCATCCGCGTACATCCCAGACGAGATCAAGAACACCCAGCTACACGAGTCAGTGAAGAACTTCATGACCCATACGTGCACGCATGTGCAATACGACGACAATGGACAGCCGATTCTCTGTGACAAGACTGGCAAGTGCAAGAAAGACTTTCCGCAGCCCCTGCAAGCCACCACAACACCGAGGGGGTCGATGAATTTGCCAAGTACCGTCGCGACACGGCCGCAAACCACTACGGTGTACCACACAACCCTCTCCCAGGGCCTATGTAACGGGACAAGATTGCAACCAAGTGTATCGAGGCAACTATCATGGGCGGCGCATTTGACAACAAGCGAGTCTTCGTACCGCGCATTACCTTGGTAGACGAGGGTAGTCAATCCAACGTCCCTTTCAAGTTGAAGCGACGCCAGTTTCCAGTGAAGTTGGCATTTGCTATGACCATCAACAAGTCCCAGGGCCAAACGTGTTCCGGTGTTCTCTCGAGGACAACTGTATATTGCACTGCCTCGAGCCAAAACCAAGGCTGAGATCTCTGTATTAGGGATGGCAAAATTCCCGGATTCGAAGGAATCTACACCAGAACGTCGTGTACCGCTCCATTTTTCCAACGACGAAAACAAAATACTCCATAACACGGAATTCATTCTTTCTAAATATCCTGCACATATCCATTCACAATGAACACAACCTGCTTTTTGCAGCAAATAAACTATTCTGCATCATACGTACCATGCCGTATTTCCCCTATCGTATCATCAACCATCATAGCAAATGTAGGAAACCCAAGCTATTTTCAATATCTACCCAACACATGCACCCAAATATTGTATGTATCATTTTATCACCGCAGCGTAGGTGGGAAAACCTACTGTTTCCAGAAGCACATTGTCCTTCGCATGCAGTGTCCCCGGACGGACATGTTGTTCGTAGTTTCATGCCACACAACGCTGTGGTAACATAGAATTCACCGTCCAAAGTTTGTTGGCGGACGTGTTGTTCGTCACGTTGTTCAACACAACTATGTACAGGTCCAAAGCCCTTGCTGTATTCAACGAAGCAAATCTTCCTGCACATCAAGTTTCTACAGCATTGTTTTTCCTGATGTGATGCCACACAACACGGCGATAGTTCGAAAGCACTGCTACCTGAATGACGAACTCCTTCCGAAGTGTATACGGAAGTACTGTTCACCACATCCAACACAGCGGTCGTGCCTGCAAGATGGGTCGACAGCACTCTGACCAACATATCACGAGTCAATCTGCGAAGCTATTGGAGTGACCGTTAGATGGCGCCGACTGTGTTCTGACCAACAAGACACGAGATATTTAGCGATGCGATTGGACATACCCGCAAGTTCGCACTGACATGCATTCTGACATACACGTCACGTGTAACAACCGCGACGCAAATGGATGTTCATACGAGATGGAGCTAACTGCTTTCAAGCCAACGCGTCAAAGACCACATCGTTACTTAGTTTAGATCCCCGAATTACAGACGACTAGGGATTTTAAGGGACACCGAAGTTTTGTCAACACATGATTTATATTATTCTATCAAATAATTTTATGAGAATACTACTCACTGATTGGCTACTGTATTGATTGGGGTGAAATCATTTTAAATGCCAGGTTGACGACATTCGTCGACACGTGTAATTTCACAATTGCCAAAGGCCGTTAGACCGGCGGTGACAGCTTTCGCCTCCCTTTGTCGATGGCGGGTTTCCAAGTCTATGAGAAGCGAGGCCATGTGGACATAAGGCACCGCTGACCTTGATCAAGGGATCGACCTGCAGACTGTGCAGGTCATGACGGTTCGTAGGTGGTTATGTCGCTGCTGGAAAATCAGCGAGGGTACCCAGCTGCATCCCGAGTCGATAGGATGATGCGATTCAGCGAGGAGGCGCACGGCGGAATTACACCCAACTTGACTTTCAAAACAAGGCATTCATTCATCAGACATGTTAAGGCGCTGCTGTAGAAACGCCTGCGTGTCGTTTCTGCAACAGCGTCTGATCAAAAGTCTGCTCAAGGGTATAGCCATGATCCACTTCTCGATCAAAACGCGGGTTCTCTCATCGACATCTACAGAGGCTTTTCGAATTGTATGTGATTTTGTATATAGATATGTGTTTAAATGGTAAAAAGTATGATCGAGCGGGGACTTGAACCCGAACTTCATGCATCGCAATCCAAGACTCTAACCACTGCGTTACAGCGCCAACAGTTATTGTATAAATTGAATCATCAAACCAATCAATACTAGTATAAAATACTCCATGTTCAAAATTGTGAAAATGAAGCTTCTGCTGTGTGATTGGCTACAATTACTTTCGAATTTCGATGATCACTAGGCAATCATATTTTGATTTCATGCCAAATTCGAAGGGCCAAGTGTCCCTTAAAATCCCTCGTCGTCTGTAGTCTTCAACCGCATATAGGAGAGTTTTGAAAACGCATACTACAAACAGAATTTGTCTGAAACCATGCGAGGCTCAACTACGACGACAAATAAGTAGTAACTTGCTCCAACCGACAATTAACTCCGGCAGCAGAGCAACGGGCTCACCTAGTTTGGATTATTATAATAACGTTAAGCTTACTTGATCTTGAAAAGCCACCTGGTGTAACGATGACTCCCCACTTTAACTGCGGGTGATACATGCCCACTCTAATTGGTACTGTGAAAAAGCATTTGTTGATGTTACTGGTCGAACTTAGCCGGATAAAATGTCGAACTCCGTCGAGTTGACACCCAACACCAGCAGCAATATGTGGCATTGTACCACTGGGGCCATAGCGAGACTAATACGACAAGCTGGTCCAAACCATTTAGCTTGCCAAATAGCTCATAGATCGTGGAGCGTCACGCAGTTGAACTTGACGCTGCGCGTCATCACCACTGGTTTGGCGTCACTGCCATACGGGTACGCCAGATGCGGCACGCTATGGGAGACGGTCCCAACTTTGACACCGGCCGCGTCCAACGCATCCATGACGCCGCGCGTGACAACGGTCACGTCCGAACCAGAGTCCAAGAGCACATCGTCCACGCGGACGATATTCTCCAAGAGCACGCCGCGCTCTGTCTTCTGGCGCTGCGGCTGGTTGACCAGCACCTTGATGCCGTCCTTCCAGCGCTTGACTTGCGCTGCCAACAATGTTTCGGCTTCGCCAGGCGCGGTCTTCGGGCACCGCGCCACACGGTGACTCGTGTCACCGCACTTCAAGCAGCCCTTCCTGGCAGGGGGCTCGGCATTCTTGGGCACAGTCGTTTCGGCCTTTCCGCCGACTCTGCCATTGTTCTTGGCGGCGTCTTCCCGGCCGCTGTCACGTCTAGGCATATGAGGCTTGCCGCCTCGTGGAGCTTCTACCGGCTTCGCTGCCGGGGAAGGTTTGGACTCGTCGTCGAGTCCCACGTACAGCTGGTGGCCAGCTGCAAATGTCCGCAGCCAGTTGACGTAACGAAAAACGTCGCGTATAGTAATCGTAATTCAATTAACGTCAACGTTACACTGGTTCATCATCGGAGACGGAGAACTCCGTTTCCGATGATACTTGTTCACT